CTTCAGGAACTCTGTGTTCCTGGCAGGCTCTGTGGACAGGCAGCCTGGAAACCACCCCTGCTGGGTAAGATCAGCGTGGCTCAAGGAGCCTGGAATATGTATCTGTCATGTGCAGGGGAGGGGGGCATACGAGACCCAGAGAGAGGAAGGTTGATGGCACAGCCCAAGCAGAACTTGGGGCCCTGTCTCCCAATCCTGGCTGATTGTACACATATCCCACCACCTGCCCATTCCTGCAGATCTAAAGACACTTTCCTGGAACCAGGCAAAACAGAACAGCCTGATTGTCTGGGTCAAAACATCTGGGTATTTGGAGAGGGAGGGTTCCTTTATATCTTTCACAACTTAGCAAATTTAATTTCTTCTGATTATTTCTTGACAGTCCCAGGCACTGGTGGTAAACAACCACTCTCCCCAGAATGTTTCCCTGTGACAGCAGCTTTCTCTGGCGAGGGTGCTATCAACACTTGGCAGCGCCTCCTCCCGGCTCCCGGCTCCTGGCTCCTGGCTCCCGGCTCCCAGCTCCTGAGCTCCTGGTCTCTTGAGCAAGGCAGCAAGTGGAGGCTCCTGAACAGCTTTTAGCATGCAGAGCTGGCCCTGTGTGCTGGGCAGGGACAGGCCTAGCCTCTTTGTTCCCCGCAGCAGCCCGCCTGGCTTCGGAGCCTCAAGTGGCCTCTGGTTGTGGATCGTCCCCAAGCAGCGAGGCTGGGTGGTATCAGGTGTCTGCTGGCTCCCACAGCCCCGGTGCCGAGGTCCTTGGCATGGCTCAGTGACAGGAGGGAGCCTGTCTCCTGAGGGCGGCTCTGCCAGGCCTGTCTGTGGCCGAGAGACCGGCAGCATCCTGTGCCCACAGTCTCCGTGGTCTGCGTCACTCTGGCTTAGGTGTCCTGAGTCAGAGCCAGGAAATGGATCTGCTGTGCGGGGGTGGAGGTGCTGCTGCCCAGGCAGCTGGGGTGAACCCCAACCTCCTGCCTGTCCACACCTGGGGGTGCTGGCCTCATGCTTCCCTCCCCTGGCTTGGCCTGAATGTGCCCAGCGCCTGGAGGAGAGGTTCCCGCCTGCTCCACGCTCCACTGCCTTGCTCAGGCCCCCACTCACCGGCTGTTTTTGGCAGGGTGGGTGCTCAGCCACCGGCACGGCCCTATGCTGTGCTTTTGCCTGAGTTATTCTATCACCTTTTTCTAGAATGCCCTTTCCAACTTGTTGTCTGGGCGATTTTCTGCTCCTCGTCCAAGAATGTACCCAAGAACAGCTTTTTTGGTGAAGGCTTCCCTGGCACCCTGACTCTGGCCAAGGCTGTCCCCCTTTCCTCTGAGCCCCCTCTCCGTGGACGGGTACTGTGACAGCGTAGTATATTCACATTTGGAGCCCGTTCGCCTGTGTGAGTGCCTTGAGGCTTTTTCTCTGTGGGTGCTACAGGACTCATGTGTAATATTAGCTCAATAAAGCAGGCTGGATTTAATTAAGGGGGTTCCTGAAGGTGGTGCTGGAGTCTCCCTTTGTTAGTGGTGTGGTGAAGAGGAGGCGGGAGTTTGGAAATGGAGAGAGGCTGACTTGCCGGCCTGCCCCTGCCCCCGATTGCCTCCGAGGGCAGCGCGGCCCCCCTGACTGCTGGGGACTGGGGCGGCCCCCTCCGTTTCCATCCAGCGGCAGCCTTCCCTGCCCGGCAGGAGCCGGCTCCCCAGGTTGCCGGAGTGATCACTCTCCAGAAAACACCCCAGTGGAAACTGCATGAATGATTGATAAGAGCTGAGAGCTGTTTAATTTTTTCCCCCTGTTTAATGGCTATCAATAATTTAATATGCTCTCTGTATGTTTTTAAGAAATAGCACCCATTTCGCCGTCTCCGGTTTAGCGGGCTAAATGATTTAAGTGTTGGAAATGTGCTCTGAGGATGGAGGTTGAGTGAGTCGGACAAATCTGGAGGCTCGGGGTGGGGGGAGGTGGGTTCAGAGCCAGCCGCAGAATCTTGGCCTGGGTGTGTGTGTGTGTGTGTGGGGGGGGGGGTGTGTATGTGTGTGTGTGTGTGTGTGTGAAGGTGGGAGGGAGAAGGGAGGGAGGGAGGGAAGGGGCGGGTAAAAGCCAGCTCCTCTCTGCTAAGAGCAAGATAATTGCTTTTCCGGGGCCTCACTGAGCAGCAGCTGAACAGCTGTTAGCACCCCCCGCCACAATGCTAAGCTTTTTTTCTGGATTGCTCTGGGGTGTCCAGGGGGGCTAGGAAGGAGCTGCCACCGGTATCACTGTGGCCTGAGAATCTCCCCTCCCCTGACATCTTTGCCTCCTCCTAAAGCCTCTAAATTATTTTTATTTTAACGACGCAGTAAGACTGCTGCCCGAGTGGTGTCTTCCAGATGGGGTGTGGATGGTGGAGTGGAGTAAGGGACTCAGAGGGATCTGGTGGGTCATCTGCCGGTGCTCCCCCAAGCTTTCCAGATGTAGACCATCACCTGGGAGGACTTGCTAAAAATTTAAATTTCTGGGCTGCCTTCCAGACCCATCGACTTCCATTGCTGGGGGAGAGGCTCGGGAATCTGTGGGTTTAACTATCAGCCCAGGGGATTCTTCTCAGAGGATTTTGGGAACTACACGTCCAGCTCTGTTCTGGTGCTTACAGCACCCACAGCACCACATGGCAGCTCCCTTCTGCTTGCATGCCTCTGCGAATGAGGTACTCACCACCTCCCGAGGTAGTGATGCAGCCTGTGGGTGTGCACAGAAGAGTGAGGTACAGCCTGCAGGACTGGGGATGGGCTACAGAGGCTGGCCTGATTCACCTGGGCAGAGAGCCATGGAAAGATTTGTCTTTAATTCCTATTGAAGTTTTACATTCATGCAGAAAAGTGTGTATCTCCTAAGTTTGTAGCTTGACAAATTATCCTGAAGGGCACAGAGCATTACAGCCCTGCTGGAGCCCCTGTGCCCTCTAGTCACTGCCCGCCTCAAGGATCTGACTGTCCTGACTCCCAACAGCCTGCTGTTATCTCCTGCTGCCCAGCAAACCACCTGAAAACTTGGTGGCTTAAAGCAGCCACCATTTATGAAACCTCACAATTCTGTGGTTTGGCTGGGCTTCCCCCCTGAGTCCCTTGGGCTCATGTGGTTCCAGTCACCTTGAGGGTTGGCTGGATTGGAACGTCCCGATGGCCTCAGTCACAGGGGCAGTGGGTGCTGGCTGTTGCCAGGGCAGTTACCCAGCCTCCAGTAAGACACACACCTCCCTCCATGGCCTGCAGCTCCCAAAAGAGGCAAGGCCGGAAATGGCAAGACTTCTTGAGGCCTAGTCTCTGTAACTCACAAAATGTCACTCACACTGAATCCTATTGATCTAAGCCACTGTCATGGCCCGTGCTCAGCGGGTGGAGAATAGACTCCGCCTCTTGATAGGAGGAACTCCAGAGGACCCCTGCCGTATTTCATCTATTAAAAGCGTAGAATCTTTATGCCCTTCTTGACCTTTATATAAATGGATCTCGTAAGTGCATTCTCTATTGTGCCTGGCTTTTTAAGTCAACATTATGTTTGTAAGATTTACCCATGTTGTTAGATGAAGCTGCAGATCACGCACTTCCAAGCCTGTCCAGCAGTTTGTTGTGTGGAAGCACCAGTTGACCCATTCTGTGGTTGGCAGCCATCTGGGAAGCTTTCATTTTCTGGCTGTTAATGAATGGCCCTGCTATGAGCATTCTAGCACATGTCTTCTGGTGAACGTATGCACATTTTTCTGTGGACATGGAGTTGCTGGGTCATGGGAGAGGTCGCAGGGTAAGAGACCCTTTCAAACTGTTCTCCAAAGTGGTGGGACTAGTGTGTGCCCCACCAGCAGAAGGGGGCTTTACTGAGACCCAGCTGAAGATGGGCTGGAGGTGCATCTCATGGACACGGGAAGAGGCTTCCCATGATGTCCCCTCTGTCTGCCCTGAGCCTCAGGCCCCCAGGTCAGGGGAAGTAGGGCCATGAGGCTGATCGCTCTGTTTTGATTATGAGCTTTCCTGCTGCCCTTTTCTCACCCCAGGGGCCTCCCATTGCCTTCTCCCTTGTCCAGAAGCTGCCTTTCCCGGCCGACCTGACCCTCGATAGTCAGGGAGGCCAGGAGGCTGCAGACACAGGAGCTGGGGGGAGACAGCCACACAGCCTCTGTCCCTGAGGAGGTTTGTACTTCACTCCAGTCTTGCCTCTTGTCATGGGAGGAACCCTTTCCCTCTCAGGGCCTCAGTTTCCTCATTTGTAAAATGACAGGGAAAAGTATCAACCTCACCAAGTCTCTTTCTTCTTATCAACCTGACCCTGTATTCTAGAATGGAACAGAGGAAGGGGCGGGGGAGGCCTCCTGACTTCAGTCGACCGTGTTGTTCCATTTGTTCATTGCACACTTTCACTGCACCATTCATCCGTCAGGGAGTCCCTGTGGTCCTTGTTAACCAGCTCCGCGGACAGAGAGAAACTAGACCTCACTTCCGATGTTCAGGAGCTGGGCCTGGAGCAGGAGATCGGCCTGTGCAGAGCGGGAGGAGGTGGGAGGAGGCAGGATCAGCCAGGTGCACAGCCCGCTGGGGACGAACAGGCAAGGAGGGGCAGATGGGAGAGGGCTCCACGGAAGCCCTTGAGCAGAGTCTCGGGCCCTTGAAAGACAGAGGTGTCGAGAAGCGCTCTGAGCGGGCCACATGGCGTGTGCCAAGGCTGGAGGGCAAGGCGTCTGGGGGGCTGGGCTGACTGGGGCCCAGTGGCAGGCGGGAAGTTTTGGCTGCTGCTGTGGTCCGTGGCTTGCGGGTGCGAGGCTGCTGGCCTGGAGCTGGGGCCTCGGATGTGACATTCAGGAGCTGCACCTTTATTTGGCAGTGGCGGGGTTTCAGTATCCAGTGTCTAGGGGTAGCTCTACGTTGGGGCGCCAGTTCCATCTTCCAGGAGATGGCAGCCAGGATGTAGAGGTCCGTAAAGTGGGTGAGGACCTGCCCGCAGGGTCAGAACTTGGAGCTCACCGTCCTCTTTCTTCTCTCCCATAGGACCCACGGCAGCTGTGTTCTGATTTCTTACTGCTGCTGGGGCTGCCACCTCCTCCTCCTCCGGACACTCTCAGCAGACTTGAGTCCTGGTCCTTTGGCAGAAGCCTGAGCAGGTAAGCAGGATGGGCTGGCTCTCTGGTGCTTGCACCTGTGGATGCGGGGCAGACAGGGCGTGCGGGCCACCTGGAGTGCGTGATGCTGTGGGAGGGGATGGGGCTTCTTTCTCCGTCTTTATTTCTTCCTTGGCCTTTTCCTCTCAAAGGAAGCCACAGTAGAGGGTGGTGAGTACCCTGACCTGGGACCTGGACATTGGATTTGACTCTGCTGCCAACTCTCAGTGTACCCTTGGGTAGTCCTTTCCTTCTACAGGGCCTCAGCTTTCTACTCTAGTCCGTGGGAAAACAGTGATATCCTCTAACACGACGAGCACTTAACTGTATTCTGGGTACTGTGCAAAGCACTGTAGAGTTAGTACCTCTTTCAGCATCACAGCAGCCTGGTGAGGGCACTGCTGTAATCACCAGCAGTGTACACGTGGGAAAACTGAACCGCACTCAGGAAGCAGCTTGCCTCAGGCGACACACCTGGCTGAGCCTAGGGTTCAAGTCCCGGTGTGTGTGGCTCCAAGTGCACCAGCCACTGCCCCCGGCCTACTCTGCCTCTGGCCTTGCTTCCCTCTCCTGGCTTCCTCTTGGGGGTGGGGATCAGGGCAATTATGGGTATGCTCGGAAGTGCTGGATCCTGTCCCAACTCAAGAAAAAGGGAGGGGGGGGGCATTTATCAGGTGACGGGCTCCTGGTGGGTCTGTGGTCATGACCCATTTGTGATGTGATGTGGCAGGAACCAGGCCTGGCCTCCCGGTGCCTCCAGGATGGCAGCCCGGGTCCCCTCTAGAGGAGGGGTGTGTAGGCTGAATAAGGCTTTTTTTCCCTCCACCCCTCAAGTAAGTTCTCCTAAGCTTGTATTAAACACTTACTGTGTACCAGCTCCTGCATTAGGCACCGACTGTAGTGCGAGGGAAAGGTGCCTGTCCCACTCTCTGCTCCGTGGAGAAGCAGAGAGATCCCAGTGACGTGCAGTGGTGTGGAGAGGGTTCAGAGGCTTGGGGGGGAATTCTGGGGAGGTGACCTCAAGTGAGCTACAGCGTGGGAGACAGAAGCAGTAGACGGGGTGGAGCCTGGTAGGTGCGCATGCTCACACAGACATGAATGGCAGTTCGTGCACAGCTACAACACACAGACGTGCAAATGCGCGCTTCCTCACAAACATATGTACACAGGTGTCGCTTCTGCATGCCAGGTGAATGCACACAGATAACACCTGTATGCACATGCTTGCTCACATACACATTCACAAACTCATGTTGGAACTACACACGGTTTCGTAGCCCTTGCAAGCACACGGCATTCACACACACACAAGGCGGGGTGCGTTCCAGCAAGAGCAGGCAGTTCCGAGGTTGATAGCTGTTCACTGGCAAAAGCTTCCAGCAGCTCCTGGGGGCTCTCGGCAGCCTGGGCGGAGGCTGAGCTGCAGCTCTGTGTGTATGTGGAGGGTATGTTTTATCACAGAGCTGTCCGTCTTGACTGCAACTTGCCCATCTCTCCTTGGCAAACTCACTCCTGCAAATTAAGTGTCATAGAGACTTGTTTGACCCCCAGCTCCTCCCTTCCAACCGTTGCTCTGTGATACCTTCAGTAGCAGCAGTGACCTTTTGCACTATAGTTCTCTATAGTGTGCAAAGCCCTTTCACACCCTTGAGAGCTCTTGAAAGGCCCCGTTCCCATTTGCTGGATAGGAAAACAGGGGTTCAGAGGTACAACCACCCTAAGTTCCTGGGCTGAAGTCAGACCCACATCGGGCAGGGGTGTAGACAGTGGCAGCAGAGAGTGGTACCTGGGCACCACCCTCGGCCGCCTTGTCTGACAGCATTTTGGAAGACTGGCTTTTCCCTTCTGGGAGACAGCTCCAGCCCCTGGCCCAGGAGAGGTGTGTGGGTCGCTGAAGAGGGCCTGGTGGAGCGTGGAGGTCCAGCACGAGCCCAGCGCTGCTTTTCCCCACAAGTGATGTGACCCAGTTCACGTGGCTTGGCACACTAGGGTCAGGTATACATGGCTCCGAAGCCTGGGGCAGAGGTGAGAGGCCCGAGCTGGCCTGGGCTGCAACCGCGGGCAAAGGCTGGCCCCAGATGAGAGGGTGTTATGTCAGGGGCATGACAAACAAAAAGGTTCCATATGGCTGGCACTTCACGAAAGACACTCAAAGCATGCTTGGTGGAGAGTGTGGAGGACTCTGGCGCGATTGTGGCTGTAGACTGGGCTGAGGGGTGGAGGTTTTCCAGCTCTGCTACTCCGTTCTTTGTGGCTTCTGATTAGGGACTTCATCTCTCTGTGCCCCATTTCCTCATCTGTAAAATGGGGAGACTATCCCTCTAGTTGTGAGGGATTCCGCGAAGTAAGCCAGGGCACTCTCACAGCCATGCCTGGAGCATGGTTAGTGCTTTCCGGCACTTTCTAGCATGTGGGGTGAAGGTGGCAGCAGCGGGAGTGGGAGGGGCAGACTCCAGAGCTGTGGGCACACGGGAGGGTTTCCCTCTGCGGAGCCGCAGGGTTGTGTGGTCTTTAAGAAAAGGTGGAGAGGGAGATCGGGGATTGGGGTTGGGCTGGATTTGGGTTTCATACCAGGCGATCCCGAACAGCTGTTGCTCAGAGCTCTGTGGGCAGCCACCTGGGGTGAAGGCTGCGCTGTCCTCACCAGCCCCTCCAGCCCCTCGCGTGTGGCTTTAGGCTGCCAGCACGCACACCCTAAGTTGTCAGTCAGCAGACTTCCAGGGTTACACAGGCGGTTTGGGGCTGGCCGTGAAGACCTTGAATGCCAAGCCCAGCTCACAGCAGGCCTGGCCAGAGCCCAGCCCGTGGCCACACAGAACTGGGATTCCAGGGTCCGCATATAGCATGCCTGTCAGTCTTCAGCGCCAGCTGAGAACGCGCATCTCTTCTCCCACTGCGTGGAATCTGTGGCCTGCAGCCCAGGCCCTCCACCCTGGCCTCTGCAGCCTGCGTTGACTCCACAATCCCCCATCCCAGCCTGGTAGCTGGGAATGGTTTGCAGCTCACTGCTTATTCCTGCTCAAGGTAGGATGCCCCTCTGGGTCAGCAGGGTGGGGCTAACTGTCCTGGTGGGCCCTCTGAGCAGGACTTATGTTCAAGCTTCAGTCCCTTCACAGAACTGCTGTGTGACCTTGGACAAGTTGCTGCCCCTCTCTGTTTATTGGTCTGTAAAACCAGAGGATTGGGGTGGGTCAGGGATTACAAACTGCAGTCTTCAAGGGAGTCAACAACCCATTGAACTTGGGACTTATCCCTATTGTATAAATGAGAAAACTCAAAGCACAGAGAGGTTAAGAAACTTAGCCAAGGTCGCACGGGTTATTAGTGGAGCTAGTACTCAGCCCAGTTTTATCTGACACCATAACATGCGTTTTCTCTACCATATCAAAGTGCCTGTCATAGGTACTTACATGTTTGCTGGGTGGGTGATCCATTCATCAGCCAGGTTGGGGTTGAACACTTCCTCATGTTCCCGCACCGTGGTAGACGTCGGTGTCCAACAGCGAATCTGCGGTTGAGCTGGGAGAGCGCTGCCCCAGGCCCAGAAGTCTGAGCAGAGGTCACAGTCTCATGCAGGGTTGCTAGGTAAGTGCAGCTCTTTCCTCATGCTGGAGGATGCAGCCAGGGAAGACTGCCTGGTGGAGGAGGAAAGTGAGTGGGGGGTCCTATACAGAGTGGAAGAGTAGGGTCTTCCTGAGGTCTCTGCACAACTTGATCGGGGCAGTCCAGCTGGAGAGGAAGATTCATTCAGCTACAGCTGGAAGCAGGAGCTGAGGCAGCCCCTGAGGGCCTCAAACTCTGGGCTACAGAGTTTGGCCATGATCCTTCAGGGAGTGGGGAGCTAAAAGAGACTGTAAAGCAGTGGCAGCTCCTTTGTGAGAGCTAGGAGGGCCGGCCTCAGCCTGCCAGCTGGGGCAAGGGTGAGGTGTGGTCTAAGACCCAGCTCACCCAGGAACTGTGACAGCAGAAAGAGCAGGGTTGGGGGCTTGTCTACTGGCCGGACCTTCATGCTCCACCATGGCCCCTTCAGCAACCCAGGCACCTCTGCTGGGCCAGGCACTAGAGCTTTCTACCAAAAGGGAAAAGCCAGTCTTCTCAAATGCTGCAAGATAAAGCGACTGAGGGTGGAGCCAGGTGCCACCATCTATACACCTCCCCTAACCCCATCTTCCATGGGCCTGACCTCAGCTCGGGAGCTTGGGGTGGCCATTGCTTAGCAACTCGGTGGGATCAGAGAGGCTCAGAGACCAGCCCAGGGGCACACAGTATGCTCATGGTGGGGACAGAGGCTAGAGCAGGTAGGCAGCCTCTTTTACAAGAGAGGTGGGTCTGGGTCTCCCTCTGGCTTTCCCAGAGTCCTAGGGATGCCTCATGGATGGTGTGTGCTCGCTCTGGGAGGTGTGTGAGGCTGTAAAGACTTGCCTAGGTATTACTTACTGAGGGCACTTCTCCCTCCCGCTGATATTTGCTCCCCTGGCTCTTTTTGAGCTCTGGAGTTTGTCTCTGTTTCATGAGCCACACACCCAGGCCACACATTGGGGTGGAGGAGAGCCGTGCCCGTGCCCTGTGCTCCTAGCTCTGAAGCCTCAATGACCTTGCAGCAAGTAATAGACACTGGCTTGGGCCACAAGGGCAGGATCCTTATTGGAATAAAAACAAATCCACAGCCTCTGTCTCATGTTGAGAGGAATGGTCTTTAGAAATCATTTTGCCCACCCCACTCACGGCACAGATGAGGGAACTGAGGCCCAGAGAGCATGCCCTAAGGTAACCAACATGGTGTCCCACCAGGCTTTCAGCTGAGTGCACGGCCACCCTACACTGCTTAGTCTACAGGGGAATGCAGAGGTTGGCAGGGGCAGGGACCAGCAGCAGCACTGACAGGAGCCTTCTATCTGCAGAAAGGCAAGACTGACCTTAAGGGGCCAAGGAAGTTCTGGGGACCTGTGGAGAGCCACCCAGGACTGGGGCTGAGAGCTGCGGGGGAGTCCGCAGACCTGGCT